GCGGCTTTCACTGCCACGCATCATAACATGCCAGTATACCCTTCGGATAACCAGAATCAGTTGAAACAGGTTATCCGAAGGGGGTAAGGTTAGTATACCCTTCGGATAACCTGTTTCAACTGATTCTTAATAACAAAAATATATTCACCCGTAAATAGTAAAATAACGACTAAAGGGTATTTAGGCACGTCTATCAAAGTTACTGTATAAAAAAATACGCTTATTTAAATTCTGGGAATCATATAACATGAAAACATATTTTTGTATATAACTCCTTAATGTTCATAAGTTCTTTATGTATAGTTTCATACGTGCGAGATATTTTATCAGCAGAGTGAAATAATATTTTAACAACATTTTCTTTTAAAACATTCAGAATAAAACTTTTAAAATTAAAATATATACCTGTGAATGTTTTCTTATGATAACTTTGACACTGAAATTTTTCATCATTGTTACTAATTAGGATATCTATAAAAAAAAGTTTGTGGTCCTGCTGACGTTCTACAGTAAACTTTTTACTGTTATGACTACTGTTTAAGTATTGAAGAAATTGGGAAACTTGATTACAGTTCGTAGAAATGGTGATGGTATTGTCAACGTACCTAAAACAGTTAAGAGTTTTAAATAGTTATAGGCAATTTTTAAGCAATTACTTTTAATGAAAACAAAAATAAGTTGACTAAAGATAGCACATTCCTCGAGCCCGTAACAGCACCGTCGATCTGATCATAGTGCTTTCCATTGAACAAAATATGAGATTCTTTAGTGACAAAGTTCATAAGTTTCAAAAAAGACAAATCTTGATATGAACACTTCATTGGAGTTGTCATTATAAACTAACTCGGCACTTAACTGTATGGCCTCTTCTAACGGTATATTTGTATATAATGATTCAGTGTCAAAACTAGCACGATGCACATTACTGTCAAACTTCAAGAGTTGAATTTCATAAGAATACTCAAAACAGTTTTTCTGAGTATATTCGTGTGTGGTAAATGTTTTCAAAAAAATCAGCCAAAGCATGGTTATAAGTTCCAATGTTTGATACGGGCATCCTTCTTTATGAACTTATGGTAAACCGTAAAATATAGAGATTAATTCCTGATGGCCCAATATTCAAGAAATTTTTCATTAAGAACATTTTTTTTCTATTGTTTTAATAAAAACTTTTTCAACTTAACTTTCTTTTATCAATAGGATCTTGATGCAATTTTACAAATTTGGTGCAATCACTAACTAATACTTCTGCTTTATTTATGTAATCATGTTTATTCAAAATTACAACACAGTTACCTTTGTCTGGTTTAGAAATAATACTATTATTTTTACTTAAATGTTTTAGAACTTTCAAGTTCTGGTACACTTAGATTAGAAAAATGTTTATATTCATTAACGGAACTGTTCACGCAAGTACGAAGGAGGGTTCGAGGGAGTACGGACGAACCCCCTACTTTTGTGATCTAAAAGAATTATGCTTGTATCAAGACACATGGTAGCGTTGTCGTGCGGCTAAAACAACCTGCAGGAAACACTATGTGTTATTAATAGGAGTGATAATTTTGCGATTTTCCACTTTCTGTTGTTCGGACTGTGGTAATCCAAACTATCACATATATCCAGTGCCAACTTTCAATTCAATCCATTAAGAAATATACGAGATGTAAAATCTCTAATTTTGATTGAATTTTTTTCATATTTTTTCTTCGCACGTAAACTTTATTTGATAGAAAAACGTACTTAACTTTTATGTTTTTTTTTTAATTTGGTAACTGATAGACCTTTACAACCTACAATTAGGTGTCAAATTTGGTCTAAATATAAGCTACAAGTGCAAAGTTATTCAACAAAAGCCGCTCAAATTTGAACAAAATGTTTGCGCATGCCTACGCAAAAAATCACGAGAGCTATCGGTCAAATATTTTTACTACAGCTTCACCTAAGTATGAAAGTGGAC